TGCAACTTCACATCCGTCGCAGGGGGAGGCATGCAGGCAGGGAAGCAGGATTGCTGTACCTTCCCAGATATATGAGTTTTCCCAGACTCATTCCATGACCATCATCCAAAATTGCCTTTTAAGCATTGTAAGAGTTCAACAACTGTTTTTTTTTCCTTCTGTTTCTTCATGTTGGACACATGGCAAAAGGAAATGTTTTTGAATTACAGTTATATGGCTTGACAGATGGGATCAAATTAAACAGGTCTTTGCTGCCTTGAAAAAGAATTTATATAAAAATAACTCAAAGAATTTATTTATGTTTCCTTGTAGGTGGCATCAAGTGTCCCGTTTGCAGCTTTGTGTACGGTACAAAATGGGAGTTCAACAGACATCTTAAAAACAAGCATGGAATGAAGCTAGTGGAACATGATGGGGAGACCAAGTGGGAGGTAAACCAAAGTTGCCATGGCTTTAGCTCTAAGATTTAAAAAATTTCTAGGGATAAAAGAAAAAATAAGAGTAAGAAGTATTGGAAAATGTGTTCTTGACTTTATATAGATCAGGAGGTCATATGATATCTCATCTCCATTTTGAATACATAGATTGCTACGACTATTGAGCCTGACTGCTTAAGAAGTGATTATTTCTACATTTTAGGGCTCTAGTCCTCTATTTGCAGCAGAAAGGGTAAAAGTTTTAGCAAAAAATAGTGAAATTAAAAAACTTACTGCATTTTGTTATGTGTCAAATATTCTCTGGTGTTAACTGCAAGATGCGCGAAGCTGCAAACTCATATTGAGTTAATGAAAAAAGCTTATGTATTGGTCCAGAAAAGGTTAGAAGCTAGAAAACTAGAAAAAAAATCAGCTAAAAAAATAGTACTGTCGTACAGATTAAGTCTTCTATCATTTGTTCTGTGTTTCCAGCTTCGATCCAAAGTATGTAGGAATCACAGTATCATTAAGATCAGACTTCAAAAAATTTAAGTTAGACCTAGGAAGTTGGTTTAGGAAAACAGAAACCAATAACCTGAATTTTCTCAATTTGGGATGGGGTAGGGCAGCTACCTTGAGAGGGCTTACCCTTTCAATCTTTCCTCTGCTGTCATGTGCGTACCAGTTTGGAAACTGTTAATGCTACAGAGCAGAGCTGACTGTAGATGCAGAAACTATGGGAAAACCACAGAACTATCCAGGCACTTTTATTTAAAAAATCACATTTGGCAAGCTGAGTCTTTTCCACTGCCTGAGTAGGCTGTTATTGGTGTCCAATGAGAGGAAGTAGCCACAAGTTAAATGCAGCTGGCTGACCTCTGCAGTTGGAGCCCTGTTCTGCTAAATTTTAGGCAGTCTAGCCCCATTATAAACTAGTCCTTGATGTGGAAGAGACATCCTGCAGTTCTTGTTCAGCAGTTTTTGAGTACCCACAGGCAGAATGCTAAGCCCTTGAAAATATCAAAGTAGGTTCTATACTGTCAGTTATTCAAAGGCAGGGAAAGTGTTTTAAGATTTAGTCTTTCAAAGTCTTGTTTCCACATGCATTTCACAAACAGTTCTTTGGCCACTCTCCCAGTAAATACCCAGTCTTGGAAAAAAAAAACAGGACATCCAGGATGCAAACGTGTCTCTGCTGTTGAGACGGCTATAAATAAGTCCCACCAGAGCAGGAATACATGTTGACACCTTTTCTTGAAAAAGCATGGCTATGAAAAGGATAATTTTTCTAAAACAAAATGCCATTTTCAAAGTTCAGGAGCATTTTACCAGATCTGCAAGAACATGCATTATAAACTAATTTTGCCTAAAAGGTCTTTACTAGACCCTGATACAATAGAATACTAAATTAGTTCTAAAATAACTGTGCAACACAAATGAAGTCAAGATAAGTTAGCATGCTTAAAACAACTTTTGAAGTAGAATCTAGAAAAAAACTGTGGGATGATATCATGACTCCCATGTAACGTTATTCTTGAATTCTGTTTCACCCAGTATTTCTATAACTCTTGTTACAATATTTGTTGTTCAAAACTCATTGCTTGAAACTCAGAACTGTCATTGTTCTCTAAATTGCTAAAATGAGAGTGAATTTATTCATGCGTTGGCTGGGTTTTGTTTTCAAGTTAACTGCTGAAGTTTCTGAAGAAGCATCCACTCAGTATCTCCATATCACGGAGGCTGGAGAAGATGTTCAAGGCACTCAAGCTGCGGTAGCTGCATTACAGAACCTTAGATACACTTCTGAGAATGGTAAGTTACCTTATTTAAGTTAGAACATGAAGGAGATCTTTTTTGATAAATATCTAACTCTTTTGAGTATACTGGGCATTATATGATCCCTTGTGAAACTATTAAAATTGGTGAAATTGTTCATGCAGAACTGACTTCTGGGGGGTTATATTTTTCTTTGAGGATTAATAATGAGAAATGACTATTCCTTATGAATTTCTGTATCCTTGAGTCATTAATACTTATCACACTCTGTTTTGCACATTATTATTCGATGTACACAATTTCTTGCCTGTATTATTAAATATATTGTGAAATCAGCTATCTTGGCAGAATAGATTGTGTGTATC